CCTTGTATCTTTACCTGGCTTTGGTATTAGAGTGATGCTGGCTTCATGGAAGGAATTTGGAAGTTCTCCCTCAATTTCTATCTTTTTGAATAAATTAAGTAGTATTAGATGTAGATCCTCTTTAAATGTCTGGTAGAATTCTGCTGTAAATCCATCTGGTCCTGGACTCTTTTTAGTCAGGAGGTTTTGTTTTACTGTTTGAATTCTCTTATGTGTTATAGGTCTGTTTAAGCTGTTGATCTCTTGTTGGTTTAGTTTTGGTGGTTCCCATGCTTTTAGATACCCGTCCATTTCTTTTAGGTTTTCAAATTCAGTAGAGTATAGGTTTTAAAGTATTCCCTTAGAATGTTCTGGATCTTTTTGGTGTCTGTTGTGATGTTTCCCCTTTCATCTGTGATTTTGTTGATTTGGAGGTGCTCTTTCTTTTGGTTAACTGGGCTAGCGGCCTGTCAATCTTTATCTTTTCAAAGAGCTAGCTGTTAGATTCGTTGATTCTTTGTATTGTTTTCTTTGTTTCTATTTCATTAATTTCTGCTCTGATTTTTGTTATTTCTTCTTGTCTGCTGGGTTTGGGTTTCATTTGCTGTTGCTTTTCAAGTGTCTTGACTTGCAATATTAAGTCATTTATTTGTGTACTTTCTAATTTTTTAATGCAGGCACTTAGAGCTGTAAACTTCCTTCTAAGGACCGCTTTCAGCGTGTCCCAGAGGTTTTGTTGTGTTGTATTGTCCTTTTCATTTAGTTCCAGGAATACTTTTATTTCTTTCTTAATTTCTCTTTTGACCCATTCATCATTCAGGAGTGTGTTGTTTAATCTCCATGTGCTCATGTATTACTAGGGTTTCCTCTGCTGTTGATTGTAAGCTTTATTGCATTGTGGTCTGATAGAATGCATGGAATTATTTCAGTCTTTTTGTATTTGTTGAGGTTTTTTGCCCCAGTATATGGTTGATTTTGGAGAAAGTTCCATGGGGCGCTGAATAGAAAGTATATTCTTGGGTGGTTGGGTGCAATATTTGGTAGGTATCTGTTAGGCCCATTTGATGTATGGTATTGTTTAATTCAGCTGTCTGAATTGTTTAATTCTCTGTCCTGTTGACCTATCTAATGGAGACAATGGGGTATTGAAGTCCCCCACTATTAATGAGTTGGGGTTAATCTGGGTCTTAAAGTCCTGTACTACTCTTTTTATGAAGTTGGATGCACCAGAGTTTGGTGAATAATATGTTCATGATTGTAATATCTTCTTGGTCAATTGTTCCTTTGGTCAGAATGACGTGGCCCTCTTTATCTCTTCTGCTTAGTTTTAGTTTAAAGTCTATTTTGTCAGATATTAGAATTGTAATGCCTGCTCTTTTCTTAGTACCATTTGCTTGGTATATTTTTTCCCATCCTTAAACCTTAAGGTAGTGCCTGTCCTTGAAAGTGAGATGAGTTTCTTGCAGACAACAAAAAGATGGGTTTTGTTTCTTAATCCATTCAACTAGTCTGTGTCTTTTGACTGGTGAGTTCAGGTCATGGAAGATTTTTCTTTCCCCTTCAACTATATTAGACACTTTGGCTGGGTGAAGTAATCTGGGTTGGCATCTGTGGTCATTTAGAAATGGTAATACTTTGGTCCAGGCTCTTCTGGCTTTCATAGTTTGCACTGAAAAGTCAGTTTTAATTCTACGGAGTTTCCTTTATATGTGACTTGTTTTTCTTTTGCAGCTTTCAGTATTGTCTCTTTGTTCTGTACGTTTAGTGTTTTTACTATGATGTGCCTTGGAGAGTTTCTTTTCTGGTCCTGTCTAATTGGTGTTCTATGTGCTTCTTGTATTTGTATGGGCATGTCTTTCTTTAATTTTGGGAGATTTTCTTCTACAATCCTGTTGAAGATCTGGTCCATACCATTATCCTGAGATTCTTCTCCTTCCTGTGTGCCTATGATTCGTAAATTTGATCTTCTTATGGTGTCACACAATTCCTGCATATTCCATTATTGTAATTTCTTCAATTTTTCATAATCTTTGCTTGAGTGGTCTAGTTCATCCACTCTATCCTCCAATGTTGATATTCTGTTTTCCATTTCATTCATTCCTGTGGTGAGGCTTTCCCCTGTTGTTCCTAGTTGGCTTATTGAGTTCTGCACTTCCTTCTTCATTTTTCAGCCTGAGTATTCTTCAATATTTCTAACTCTTTTCTGAATTCATTCTGAAGTTTGTCCCTATCTTTTTGTTTTTTGATTTCTTTCTTTGCGTGTTTTTTAAATTCACTGAATTCTTTTATCATGTTTATAATTCTTCTTTTCAGTTCCATGTCCTGTGCCTCTAGGGGGTTCTCATTGTACTCCTCTAGAGGACTATTGATACTTGGTGAGGATATATTGTTTTGGTTTTTCATGTTATTATTTTTTCTCTGTCACTTTGATACATGTGTATTTCTTTTGTAGTTTCTGATTCCTGTGTGAGACTCAAACCTTCCTTTGTTGAGTTTAGGTCTGCTTCTGTTTGTAAAATTTATTTGCCTTTGTAGTTTACTTGTTGGGCATGAAAAGCTGGTTGGTCTAGGCTTCAGGTTCTTCCTTTTGGTTTTATATTGGAGTGGCCAAATTGCTTTCGTCTTGCTGCTCAGGAGTTCCCACAGAGGCCCAAGTCAGATGAGGATCCAGGCTTTCTCCTAATGTCTGGATCCCTCCAGGAAAGATGCTGGCCACCAGGGATGCAATGGAAGGTTGGGGCAAGGAGAGGCCCAAGGGTTCCTGGAGACTACAGGGAGGAATTGGGTTGGTCTGGATGCCATGGATCAGGAAGCAGTGGGGATTCAGGGCTAAGAGGTCAGTCCATGGGTCTGGGGTGTCACAACTAGAGACAGGCCAGTGCCCCTTCTAGGAGGAGAGATGGGGTGGGGGAGGTGGGAGGGTGAATGAGGCTGGGGGAGTCGAGGCGCAGTGGGCTCAGCAGCTGAACTTATCCAGGCCTCAGTAGTCTTTTTTTAAATCATATTTATTTATGGGCTAGAGTGATGGCATAGCAGTTAAGAGCACTGACTGCTCTTACAGAAGACCCAGGCTCCATGCCCAGCACCCACATGGTGGCTAGCAACTGTCTGTAACACCAGTTTGAGAGGATCTGATGCCCTCTTCTGGCCTCTGTGGGCATTTCATACACAAGTGCACCTACATACATGCAGGCAAAACACTCATACACATAAAATAAAGGATAAGTAATCATATTTGTTTATTTGGGGGAGGGTACCATGGCAAGTATGTGGAGGTTAGAGGACAACTTTCAGGAGTTAGTTCTCTCCTACCATGAGGGTCCCAGGGATCAAACTCAGGTCTTCAGTCTTAGAGGCAAGCACCTTTATCCACTGAACCATCTTTCTGTTCCAAGGCTCTGGGTTCAATCCCTAATACCTCAAGGGGGACATACAAATCAGGATGCTCTCAGCAACTGACTCTGTGTCAGAGGCCAGGCAGCCCAAGAGACACTGATGCCAGCTGTCCCCTCTCCCTGCAGCTGTCCTGCTGAGGAGGAGGGGCCCTTCGGTGAGGCTGAGGAGAAAAGGATGATGGAAGCACGTGCCCTGAGACTCCGGGACTTCCAAGGTAAGAGGGGTCAGCATCAGGGGCAGGTACCTTATGTAACCAAGGCCCCATGGAGCCTGCCTTGTTTAGGCCTGGGTCTCAGCATCCTCTAGAGGTCTTGTTGTTCCTGATTTATTCATATTTATTTTATGTATATGAGTGCTTTGCCTGCAGTTATGTAAGTGCACCAGTGTCATGCAATACCTATGGAGACCAGAGGATGGTGTCAGATCTCCTGGAACTGGAGTTGCAGGTGATTGTTAGCTGCCATGTAGGTGCTCAGAATCAAACCTGGGTACTCAACGAGACCAGCCAGTGCTCTTAACCACTGAGCCATCTCTTCAGCCCCTCCTCCATTTTATCCTATTTTGTTGAAGCTAGACATGTAGGAAATGACACACATACACTACCTGTTTTGCCTTGAGCTCTACTATGTCCTACAGCTCAGTGAGGTATTTGGAGTGAGGCTATGTCATGAAGTGGTGTTATAGAGGCTACGTGGCCCCGCACCCTCACTGTGAGGGTGAGGGAAAGGGAGGGAGTGGACCTCATAGTTCCCATAACCCCCTCATACCCAACAGTGCAGCACATACTCAGCCACCAGTTGTCTTCTTTTGGACAGGAGTTCCACATGGGTGTCCTAGGTCGTGTGCAAAGGAACCTTCTAATATCACATGTCCACCCCACCCTCAGCCTCCTTCTTGGACTGGCCACTCACAGAGCCTCACTGAGCCTTGGACTCCTCCCCACATCAAGTTTATACCACTTAATTGAGGTTTAATGCACATATCCTGTGGTTTGCCCTTCCTAGAGTTCAGTTCAGGGCCAGGGATGTGTGGCTGAGTTCATACAGTGCTTGCCTGGCATGCACAAAGCCCTGAGTTCCATCCCCAGCACTCCATACACTAAAGGTGATGGTATACACCTGTCATCGCAGCACTCAGGAGGTAGAGGCAGGAGGATCAGAAGTTCAAGGTCATCCTCCACTACCTGAGTTCAAAGCCAGCCTGGTCTAGAGACCCAGTCTCAAGAACAAAACAAAAACCACACACACACACACACACACACACACACACACACATATTGGGCTAGAGAGATGGCCTGGTGGTTAAAAACACTTGCTGTTCTTCCAGAGAACCCAGAGTTCAGTTCCCATATGGTGACTCACAACTACCTGTAACTCCAGCTCATGGGGATCTGACACCCTTCTAGCTTTATCAGGCATTGCACATGTGGTGCACACACAGACAAGCAGGCACACACCCAAGTATACATAAATAATAATTTTTTTTAAACCACCATAATAAAAACAAAATAAGTAAATAAAAAAAAACACTTCAGTGAGGAAGACCTCAACCCAAGGGCCTGAGGAAAAACCTTTGAGATTTAAAACCTTTTGACGCTGAGGTGGGAGGATTGATGAGAATTCAAGGCTAAGGCCAGCCTACACTCTACACTCTACACACTGTACAGTACCAGTGGACCTGACGTCCTCTACTGGCCTCCATGGGCATTGCACATTCAGATGCACATACATACATGTAGACAAAACACTTATACACATAAATCAAGCTAAATAAATCAAATTTTTTTTTCTTAAAAAAAATTTTTTTTTTTTTTTTTTTGGTCTTTTTGACCAAAGTCTCTCGTTAGCCCCAGCTGACCTGGAACTCACTGTGTAGACCAGGCTGGCCTCAAACTCACAGAGATCCACCTGCCTCTGCCTCCCAAGGGCTGGGATTAGAGGCATGCACCACCATACCCAGCCTAAAAAATTTAAGTAAGTTTTTTAAATTAAAAATTTAAAAACCTCAGTCTTTTAAGGTTCTCTGTTCCAGATCCATACTGTCATAGTCCTTATCTACCATCTGGGGTTCACAGTAAAGATGGGAGGGACAATCAAAACAGAGCCACTGGAATGGTGGAGGAAGTGCAGGAGGGAAGATAAGGGGTTGTCTTTCCGGGGTCCCTACCCTTACTGCCTCACTGGGTCCCAGGCTACCCAGGCTGACTTCCACCCTACGTCCTCCTGCAGAGCGACTGAGCCTAAAAGACCAACAGATTGCACAGAGCCTCTTGGAAAAGCAGCAGATCTACCTGGAGATGGCCGAGCTGGGCGGGCTGGATGAGTCAGCCCAGTGCAGTGGCCTTTTCCGAGGAGGCAGCGACCCCTCTGAGACCCTGCAGGGGGAACAGATCCTCAGGTCGGCCATGAGTGAGAGTAAGTCAGTGACTCCACCATACATGGTATGCTATGGTCTTCCCTGGGTAGGCTGCCTGGGAAACTCCAGCCAGGCCCAAGGCTCTGTGTGGCTCACTTACCAGTTTATCCGGGACCACTTTGTTTTCTATTTTTCAGTTCAAGGAATGGAACCCAGGGAATGGGCCTTGCACATGGTGAGCAAGTGCCCTACCACCAAGCTATATCCAAGTCCTTAAGGCACTTTCTTTCTCAATCAACCAACAGTCCCCTAGGCTTCCTTGTTGACCCCAGGGATCTAAAGTTGACTAAGGTCTGGTGTTGTGGCTTAGTTGGTAAAATGTTTGCCTAGAATGCTCAAAGCCCTGGGTTCTGTCCCCTGTACCACATAAACCAGAGGTGGCTGCACACATCTGTAATCCTAGCACTTGGGAGGCTGAGGCAGGATGATCGGGAGTTCAGGGTCTTCCTTGGCTCCATAACAAGATTTAGGCTAGCCTGAGATTTATGAAACACTGTCTCAAAAAATAAAGTTAGGGTGCAGGAGAGAAGGCCTAGCAATTAAGAACTCTGGCTATTCTTGCAGAGGACCTAGGTTCCATTCCCAGCACCCATAGAGTGACTAACCACCAAGTGTACCTTCAGTTACAGGGGATCTGATGCCCTCTTCTGGCCTCTGCAGTCACTGCATGTATATGATCCTCATACATCATGCAGGCAAACATTCACACATGTAAAATAAAAATAAAAAATATTTTAAAAAAATAATAATCCAGGCATAGTGGCACACACACCTTTAATCCCAGCACTTAGGAGACAGAGGCCTGAGAGTTCAAGACCAACCAGGTCTACATAGTGAGTTCCAGGACAGTGATTCATAGTAATGCCCTGTCTCAAAAACAAACAAGCAAACAAAACAGAGTTCTCTTCAAGCCTTAGGATGTAGCTGTGTTGGTAGAGTGCTTGCCTAGAATGCCCAGGGTTGCATCCCAGCACCTCAAAAACCAAGCATGGTGACATGCACCTGTCATCCTCGCACTCAGGAGTTGGGGTCAAGGGGCTTAGGAGTTCAACTGCCTGCATTGGAAGCAAGGGAGTGTATAGTGGGGCAGAGAGCAGAGCTACCACCCACACTTGCTCTCTGGCCCTCAAGTCTAGACTTCCATGTTGCCCCTCAGCACTCCCACCCCATCCACCCAGGCTGACTCAGGCTTCTCATCTCCCACAGTTGAGGGTATCCAGAGCCTAATCTGCCGACAGCTGGGCAGTGTCAACAGCCAGGTAGAGGAAGGAGGCGGCTCTGTGGGACTGCCTCGAAGGGCTGAGACCTTCGGGGGCTATGACAGCATGGGCAGCCCCAGTAAGAGTAAGTATGTCACACACCTCTGGGACTGTGCCTTGGAATGGCAGATCCAAGCATCCTGTGCAGTGTAATTTCTGAGAGTATTCTACAGTTCTCTGCTTCCCCACTGTGCTCCCCTGGGTGCTGTGCTTCAGAGGCACTGCTTTGCCACAGCTAGCACCCTAGCCTAGATTTACTTGGGGGGGGTGTCTAAGGCATGAGGGGAAGAGGGTTCCAGATCCTATGGGATCCACATTTTTCTCTTATGATGAATTTGGGGTTCCTAGATGGCAGCTTTAAGAAGAAAGTATGCAACAGTGACCCCAGGCCTCAAGACTGGCAGGGGTCTGCCACCAGTCCAGACTCCAAGCCCTGTGATGGAGACATGCCAGGGGGCTTCAAGGAGTCACCACAGCTGGTAAGTGGCTTCCCGTGATATTGGTTGCCTAGGTACAGTTGGTCTAAGTGGGCATAGATGCCATTTACTACCTGTGACCACCTTCAAAATTCACCTTGCAGGGCTGGGTGTGGTAGGGCACACCTTTAATCCCAGCACTTGAGAGGCAGAGGCAGGAGGATCACTATGAGATTAAGGCCAGCCTGGGCTTCATAAATGAGTTCCAAGCCACCTGGAGCTACAGGGAGATCCTGTCTGCAAAAAACAAAAGAAAACAAAATTCATCTTGCAGAGCCCTGAAAATACCCAGGAGGGAGGAAGGGGAGGAGATTGACTCAACACACTGGCATGGCTTCAATAGGCCAGAAACCCCAGGCTGGTACTACAGGCTATCAGTCAGAGCTCTTAGTAACATCTGCCACACCCCTGACAGGGCTCACCCATTTCCTCCCCTTTCTTTCTGGGGTTTCCAGAGGCCAAAGCCAGCTGTTCCTAAGGTTTCTGAAGCTTAAACTGGACCCTATACTTAGCACAAACTTCACTTCCAAGCCCACCCTACCTGGACCTAGGCATCTTCCTCCCACTCATCTCCCAGATGACCTCATTTTCCAGACTCTCAGGTGGGCATACATCAAATTGCTTAGGATCTGACACCACACAATCACTGTCTGTCCTTTCTGTTTCTCATGCCAAGAACATGTCTCTTCTCATAAGCCAGCAGTCAGTGGTTAAAAGCATTTGCCCCTCTCACAGAGGACCCAGTTCTGTTCCCAGCACCTACATGGTGGCTAACAATCATCAGTAACTCCAGTTCCAGGAGATCCGAAGCCCTCTTCTGGCCTCCATCTGCATTGCACAACTTGGGTGCACTTACATACATGCAGGCAAAACACTCAGACACATAAAATAAAAATAAATGAATAAATACATTTATTTTAAAGTGAGCCATAGGGGGGCTTGGATCAGTCCATTTTAACAGGGTCATCTTCCTCTTCACAGGTGGATATGTCTAGAACAGAAACTGGCTGCCGTCTACCCTCGATCCTGGAGTCTGAAGTAGGTGACCCTTGGTCCATCTCCCCACCCCACCCCAGAACTGGCACACCCATTATACACCTTTGGGTAGAACTCACTTTGGCCTTCTCTCTGCAGTTGGTCCAGCGGATCCAGACACTATCACAGCTGCTCCTTAGCCTCCAGGTACCCATGGCATCAGGGAGGGACTGGCTGTACCTGCCGTTTCCTAGTAGGCCTAGGGCATGACTCTCACCAACCCTCCCTCCTCACCGCCCCTCCCCTGTCCCCAGGCGGTCATTGCGCAACAGGACAGCTATGTGGAGATGCAGCGAGTGGCCATCCAGGAGCGTGAGAAGCAGTTCCGGCTGCAGTCGACGCGTGGGAACCTGCTGCTGGAGCAGGAACGGCAACGCAACTTTGAGAAGCAACGTGAGGAGAGGGCAGGTGTGGAGAAGCTGCAGAACCAGCTTCGTCAGGAGCAGCAGCGCTGGGAGCGGGAGCGCATGCGCCAGCAGCAGGAGCTGGAGTTGGCAGGGGCACGGCTGCAGGAGCGCGAGGGTGAGGCACTCCAGCTGCGCCAGCGGCTAAACCAGGAGCGCACGGAGCTGGAACGGCAGCGCCAGGCCTACCAGCATGACCTGGAAAGGCTGCGTGAGGCCCAGCGCTCCGTGGACCGAGAACGGGAGCGCCTGGAACTGCTGCGCAGGTTCAAAAAGCAAAACACAGCACCGGGGGCACTGCCCCCGGAGGCGCTGGCAGAGGTGAGTGGGCCTGAGTGAGAGCGCTGGCAGAGGTGAGTGGGCCTGAGACAGAATGTCAGCTAACAGGAACATACTGGGGCTGGGAATGTGGCTCAAGTTTGTATCGGGCTCTGCCTAGCATGCACAAGACCCTGGGTTCCATCCCCAGCATCTCAGGAACTAGGTGTGGTACAAACCTAGGATCCCAGCACGCAAGAGGTAGGAGCAGAAGTTCAAGCTCATCCTCCATTACCAAGTGAACCAGCTAGCCGGTCATAGTGGTTTGCACCTTTAATCCCAGCACTGGGGAGGCAGAGGCAGGCGGATCTCTGTGAGTTCACGGTCAGCCTGGTCTACACAGTGAATTCCATGCCAGCTTGGGCTACATGAGACCTTATTTTGGGAGAAAGGAAGAGGGGGAGGAACAGACAGACATGACCATACAGGTCTAATAGTAAATGAACACCTAGGGCTGGGCTCAGTTATAGAGTGCTTGCCTAGCATGTGCAAGCTCCTAGGTTCAAGCAGCACCAGAAGTAAATAAATATTTGGTTGAGACAGGAGGCTTATTTGATCCCATGAGTTCAAGGCCAACCTAGGCATCATGGCATGACCTCATCTGTTAAAATTTTTGTTTAGAACTGGAGATGTAGCTCAGTAGGTAGAGTGCTTACCTAGCATGCAGGAGGCCCCTGGGTTCAATCCTTAGCACCACATAAATGGGTGTGGTGACAGACGCCTATAATCCCAGCACTTGGGAGGTAGAGGAAGGCAGGAAGATCCCAAGTTTAAGGTCATCCTCAGCTACATAGTGAATTCAAGGCCAGTCTGGGCTACGTGAGAATGTATCTCAAAAGAAAACTGTATTGGCAAGGTGAGTCAGTTGGTAGAGTACTTACCCAGCATGCAGGGAGCCTTGGGTTCCATCCATAGCACTTCAAAAAAAAAAACTGGTTTTGGTGACTCAGGCCTGTCATTCCAGTACTTTGGGTAGACCCGGGTGTGGTGGAGCAGGCCTTTAGAGGCAGGCAGATCTTAGTGAGCTCCAGGCCAGCTGGGGCTACCAGGAGAGCCTGTCTCAAAAGGACCAAAAGAATAAAAGGAGGTAGAGATAGAGGCAGGAAAGATCAAAAGTTCAAGGTCATCCTTGACTACATAGCAAGTTCAAGGCCAACCTGGGCTACTTGAGACCCTGTCAAAAAAAAATACAGTTGCTGTGAGTGGTACAAATACAGATTGTTCAATAGTGTTTGATTGTGAGAGAGTTATTGTATGTCTCAGTGTGACTGTGGGTATACTCCTATGGGTGTGTCTGGGGGACTGTCTATCTCTGGAAGCAACTTGAGGCTGAAACAGAACCGCCCCTCTCAGTGGGAGCTGGACCAGGAGCCGGGCCAGGGGGGATGGGGGAGTAACACCCCTCTCCAGTCCTGGTGGGTCTCTGTGCACATCCAGGGTCCTTTAGGGACACTGGGATATCCAGCTGCCATGAGCAGCAATGGCACGTCTCCTATCATTTTTAGATCCAGCCTCCAAACCACCCTCCTAGCTTCAATGGGGAAGGATTGGATGCATCCTCGACCCTGGCCAAGGCACCAGCGACCCGAGGGAGCATGCTGCTGTCTAGCACCGGACCTGAGTACCTAGAGCGTGCTGAGGTGGCCCGCCGGGACAGCACCCTTGCTGAGAGCCGGCCAGCCAAGAGTGATGTGCCCATCCAGCTGCTCAGCACCACCAACCAGATCCAAAGGCAGACGGCTGTACAGCAGCAGATCCCCACCAAACTGGCTGCCTCCACCAAGGGCAGCAAGGACAAAGGTGGCAAGAGCCGGGGTTCCCAGCGCTGGGAGAGCTCAGGTGAGCTGCAGCCCTGCCCCCAAGGCTCAGGGACCCTTGTAGAGGATGATGCACTGCAGCAAAGCTCATGAGATGATGCTTGGGACTTGTTGAAAACCCCAAATCAGGCTGGAGAGATGGGCTCAGTGATTAAGAGCACTGGCTGCTCTTACAAAGGACCCAGGTTCCATTCCCAGTACCCACATGATAGCTAACAGCCATCAACAACTCCAGTTCTAGGGGATCCAATACCCTTGTCTGGCCTCCGTGGACACTGTAAGCATGTGGTTCACTGACATAGCTGCAGACAAAACACTCAAGAAAAAAGAAAAAAAAAAAAATCAGGACCCTGTACCACCCGGAGAGGGAACCCAGAAGGTTTGATGGTGGCAGGAGATAAGCTGCCCCTCCAAACGGAGGCAGCAAAACTGAAATGACGGACCCCCATGTCCTTAGTCTCACCTCATACCTCAAACAGGGTGGCGGGGACAGGGGAGCACCAGCCAGTGGCATGGACATGAAGTCAGAATCAAAGAAACCCACTGTTCTAGTTGTGTTTTGTTTTCTTTTTTTAATTTTTTAATTTATGCCATCACACCCATTTGCTTAGAACCACACAGCTAGGACACAGGACAGGTGCTAGGGGATGCACCCAGCATCCTTTGTTCAGTGGAGGGGGACTCTGAGGCCCAAAGGCTCAGTCTCTTGCCTTTAGGCACCTGCAGCTAGCTCCCTCTTCCTTAGAGATGCCCTGCCCCCCTGGGTAATGACTCCATTGACACTTAAGGTATTCTCAGACCTTCTCCATGAGCAGAGCCCACATCCTGTGGATCATGTGAAAAGGACATTTCCTTGGAGGCCACACCCTCCTCTCATCCCAACATTGAGTGACTCTGTGCATTGAGTGCCAGGTGGGGGAGACGCGGCTCCCATCAGGCTCAAGCACCATCCCTCTTCTAGCATCCTTCGACCTTAAGCAGCAGCTGCTTCTCACCAAATTCATGGGCAAGGACGAGCCTGCTTCCCGAAACCGCCGGTCACTCAGCCCCATCCTGTCCACCACCCACGGCTCTGCCCCTGTCCCAGGTGAGCCCAGCCACTGGACATTGGGGGCCACCCGCCACTTATAACAGCATCTGACACCACTGTACCACCTCTCTCTCTTTTCCAGACCCTTGCTTCCCAGCCCTGAGCCCATCTCCAGCTGCTGTCCCCCCTGACACCTTCAAGTCTGGAAGCACATCCCTGCCACCCACATCCCCAGCCCCCTCGCTGCCAGCCACACCACTTAGCGCCAAGGATGAAGTCAGCAAAGAAGACGTTATCTTCTTCTGAGGGCGGCTATAGCCCCAGGAGTAGACTCCCTCTCTATCCTGATCACCCTCAATGTCTCTGAGGACCCCATGGGTGACTCTGCCCATCCAGCCATCCTCTCCTCTACCCAAGCACACCCAGGCACCTACCTGCCTGAGGTTGGCCTATTGGTATCTTGGGTCTTGCAGCTCTCCAGAGATTTAAGCAGTAAAGCCTGGGTAGCTTCCTGAACCTCTTTATATGTACACATGTAAAACAGTTTGTAATCAAAGGTTGAACCCCAGCTAAACCACAAAACTGTTTTAAACCAGAGTTAAGGAGCACAAAGCTGGCGAGCCAAAGAGGAGCTGGAGGATAGGCCAGCCTGAGTCTGAGGAGATGCTGGCTCTAAGGACAGGCTCCACATCGGGTCAGTAGAGCCACCAGAAGGCACCTCATTATCTGTCCCCAGAATCCAGTGAGTCCCCTTCGAAAGCAGGGGCCCAAATTAGTCACAGAGAGCCTTGGCCCACAAGTGAGCCAGGCAAAGACAGAGAAGACCGTTAGGTGGGGGAGACTCGGGACAATACGTGGAGGATGGGCAGGTAGTTCTTTGATTTTGAAGGCCCATCTGAAGAGGTGTGACGAACTGTCACTCCTCGTAGTGTGTCAAATATTTTCCCAACTTGGCTTCCCAAAGGGAGCGACCTGCCATATCCACCCTCCAGGTCCGTCAGAAATCCTGAACCCCAAGGTCTCCAATAGGGCAGCACATACTGCAGGTGGAGGGTCCTTGGTCAACTCTGTGAAATGAGCAAATTTTCCTTGGACCAGTGGGTGTCCTGCTTGCCAGAGAGGCAGACCCAACACATTCAGGGGCATGTGGAGAAATGACCTAGTGATACTGCCAGTGAGTGGGCACAGCCAGCCATCTTGGTGCCACCTCTTCTGCAGTAAATCATACCAGAGGTTGGTTTTGCCTTTGACACCCAGGGCTGGGCAGAGGTGTAGTGCTGCTCCCACCATGCCTGGCTCTCTGGGGCAGGGTCTTGTTCCACACCCCAGGCTTCCGTATTGTGTGCCCTCCCCCAAAGTACTGGCAGCAGGACCACACACTGGCCTGGTGGTTCTTGACTCCAAAAAGGCCAAGTCAGTCTCCAGAGCCCAGGATCCCTGGAAACCCCAGCAGGGACTCTGCCCTTCTGATATACCTGCCAAGCCACCTATGATACTCAACTGAGCTGGGCTATTCCCACCACTTCAGGACAAGAAACTGGGGAGCTCTCCAGAGCCAAGGCACCTACCAAAGTGCTCAGTGCCCACAGGCTCAGGTGGCTCTACCTATACAGTGACCAGAAGAAGCCCTGTACACAGCCTGTGGCTCACTGGGTGCTGCAAGTGGTGGTCTCTAATGGCTTCTGAGCACAGCATGGGGTGCAGTGCTCCCTTATTCTGACCCCTAGGCTCCCGGCCCCTCTGTACAACAACTCTAACCCTTTTTATCTGTCTTGTGTCCAGAGTGTCTCTCCACCTACCAGACCTCATCTGTGCCATGTCGCTTAGTGTTTTTTCGGCTGGTTGGTTGGTTGGTTGGTTGGTTGGTTGGTTGGTTGGTTTTGTTTGAGTTTTTTTGTACTGAGATATATTGGAGCACTTTAGGAAAGCCTACTTTGAACTTTGACAGTTCCTACTCTGTCCATGAACATTCCAGAACCCTATTCCCCATCCTCTGCTCCACCCCAAGCTGGGTGGGCTTCCCCCCTTGAGCGTGCATTGATTTCTTAAACTCACATAAGTTCAAGGGATTTCCACCTGGCCCTGGGTAGGAATTAACACATTCCCCTCCAAGGGGCGGGGAGGGGGTTTAAAGTGTCTGCTGCACATAGTAGGGCAGTATCAGCACATCCATTACCAGCACCTATGGGCCCCTCCTGGGTGCACCGCAGTCTAAAGCTGATAACAGCAGCTTCCCCATCTTTGAGGTCTGCACAGTGTCCCTCATCAATCATGACTGTGATCTTTGCCCACACCACAGTGATCAAAGCATCTGGCCACAGAGTATTCTGGACCACCCTAGAACTGACCAGATTCTAACAATGGAAATATCAGAGAGCCTTGGACTAAAGTGATGCTCTGGGGTAGTTGGGAGCAGGAGCTGTCCTCTGACTACCATAAACATGCCAACTTGCATGGGTGCCTGCTAAAAATGAAATTAGGGGGTGGAGAGACGGCTCAGTAATTAAGAGCATTAGCTGTTCTTGAAGAGGACCTGGGTTTGGTTCCCAGCACCCACATGGTGATTCAACCATAACTAGTTCCAGGAGATCTGACACCCTCTTCTGGCCTCCGTGGGTATTACACACATGGTACACTTCCATACATACAGGCAAAACACAAAAATTTAACAAATTTTTAAAATAAAAATAAAAAATACCTGTGAACCATGCTCAGTGATATGGGACACAAGCTACACTTGTCTTCAGAAACCAGTGTGTGTGACCTGGCCTCTGGCCCTGGGTCTGAGATACCTATAAGCATTGGCTGTCCTGGATGTGACCCTGCCCAAAGGCAGCAACCCACACTTTGCCTTCCTATGGCTTAGAGGAATGAACACCCTCTAGAGCTGATGGTGGCCTGGGCTCAGTGGGCAGCACTCCATCAGAGATAACAGGAAACCAGCAGGCTCAGGGTATCCTGTATGAGCAAGCAAGGTGGTGTGGGCCCACAGGAGGGAAGGCCTGAAAGCCACCACTTTAATCACCTCAGACACAAGCTGGGGCCAGCACCAAGATATTTAATTAATCATTCCAGCTTTCCCAAAACCTGTCCTGAGGTGTCATATGTCTCTCCTGCTTGCCTTTCAGCTGACCAGCAGATAGAAGGTTCTAGCAGAAGCCTCCTGGGATTGTGTCAGCCCAGCCTTGTCTCGGGATCCTGAGGTCCTCTTCATGTGGTCCTCCAGGAATCAGCTCAATCAGCCCATTTCCCACCCCACCCAGGGGCTGTTCCAGGAGTGTACAATTACAGATGCACCCTGGCTAGTGGTTCCCATCCCAGGATCTGAGTCTTCTGTGGAGTTCTCGCTATATCTACCACCTGCTGCTTGGGGGCTATGTCAAGGACTGTTGGCCTCAGCCTGGCTGCCGGTCCTGGCAGCCTGGTATATACTGAGCAAGGAAGAGATGGTGCCCATGAGGCCCACCAGCCAGGAAGGGAAGCGGCCAGCCCACAGAACACCTCGGGGCAACCAGTGTACAGCGTTGGCCAAGTCAGCCAGGTTACTGAGGAGAGTCAAAACTTCTGACCGCAATTGCAGCTCCAGGGCCCTCCTCTTGCTCCGGGTCAGCCGGCTGTGGGAGAAGGGGGTGGGGGTCACTCATCATGTGCCCTTCCCCAAGCACCCAGGAGTGCGTACAAAGGGGCCACAGCCTCAAGTCTACACAGCTCCATACACCCTGGGTTTGGGGTGCAGGGGTGTGACCACTGTTCTCAATTTTTTGTCTTGTTTGAGACAGGGTCTCCCTGTAGCCATAGCTGACCTGGAACTCACTATGTGGACTAGGTTGGCCCCAGTCTCACAGAGATCCACCTGCCTCTGCCTCCCGAGTGCTGGGATCAAATGCGTGCACCACCATGCCCAGCAGTCCTTAATTTCTTACTGCTTTTTCTGCCATGCGCTGCAACCATGGAGGCTTAGCCTGGAGTCCTCATTTCATGTGAGCCTGTTTCCCCACCTGGAAAAGGTACTTCCTGCCCAGGGGGTAAAGATCTGACCTGCTGGCATTCTCTCACAGAGAGGTGGGGAGGGTCATTGGAGCCTGGCCTGAGATTCTGGCGCCAAGACCCACTGTATGTAATGTTACATAACTGCACATGGCTTCACAGTTTTGGGAGGCACTAGAGTATTTAGATAGTAACCCCACCTCGGCAACTATGGGGAATCATCAGCCATGCTGAGGGGAGACTCTGGTAGCACAGCTCCTTCAGGGTCAATGCAGTAAGTAACCCTCACCTACACTCTAAGCCCAATAACTCATTGGTTCCCCCAAGTTAAACTTTGGTGGAATCATAATTTGGTTTGTCATTGGTGCACTATGAGGATGGGGTAGACACCTGTTTACATCTCTCCAGGAAGAGAGTTACAACACCCCTGCACAGGGTGTCAGGGTGATGGATCAGCAGAGGTGGGCACCTCAAGGAGAGGCTACGACGTGATACCTTGTGAAGGTGGCCGTGGGGCTCCCCAGCTTCTCCCTCAGCTTTAGCATCATCCACAGGGACCTGAAACACAGGTGGCCATGAGGACTCGCTGCCATAGCAGAGGGTCAAGCAGAGCAAGGCGAAGTGGGCAGAAGCCTCTGCTGCCCAGCAACAGAACAGGGTCTCATGTAGCCCAGGCTGGTCTCAAACTTGTGGTTATGTGCGTGCTGTGTATTAAATCCAGGTCTTCTGCTCTTAACTGCTAAACCATCTCACTAGCCCCATAAAAAAATTTTTTTAATATATTTTTGAGAGAGAGAAACAAATAAGAGGGTCAGAGGCTGTACACTGCTGACTCTGAAGGAGGAAGGGGCCACAAGTAAAGGGATGTGGGCCCTCTAGACACTGGAAAAGGCAGAGGTGGATGCTCCAGGGAGCATTGCCCCCCCTGAACTTTTATCCATGAAACTAATTTCATATTTCTGACCTCCAGGCCTGAGAGATGACATATTTGTGTTTAAAGCTATCAAGTTTGTGCCCAAATGTGACAGTTACCAGGATGAAACATGGTGGGATCAACAAAAGGAGAAAAACTCCAATATGTGACAACTTGCCCCACTTTGAACCTCCAAAAACCAGTCTATAAAGGCCCATGCCCCTGAAGCCCTGCTGAGACACCACCACCTGTGGACCTCAGATGCCCCCTCTGGCAGATGCCACTTACTTGACAATCCCAAGAAGCAGGGAGAGACCCCAGAGGGCGGTGCTCACTGTCCACCACCGAGCAGAGTCCACATGGAGGACTTTGGCATCTGCAGCCCAGGCAACATGCTCACATGGATAGTATAGCTGGTCGGCCATGTTGCCCAGGACAGACAACCAGCGGATAAGGACATCTTCCTCCTGTGGGACCAGGAGACAGAGTTGGACCTACAAGTTAGACTTCCCAACTGTACATTTTGGGATGTTGCCACACCGGGTGACAGTGAGATCCTTACCCCCTACAGTCTATTGCCTGGTGCCCCTGCTTGGCAGCATATCCTATGGCTAGCTTCTGTAGAAGAAAAAAGCTGGGAGGCTGGAGAACATGGCTCAGCAGTTAAGAGCACTGGCTGCTCTTAGTCCAGAAGACCTGGGTTCAGTTCCCAGCACCCACATGGCAGCTAACCACAGTAACGCCAGTTCCAGGGGATCCAATGCCCTCTTCTGGCATCTGTGAGCACTGCACACATGGTATACTTATATACATGCAGGCAAAATATTCATACACATGCAATAAAAATGTTTAAAGAAAAGAGCTGGGGTCCCACACAGGCCTGACTTCTGCCTGTGCCCACTGGGTGGCACACTAGATCTCAACTGACCCAAGCAATGGGATCCCCTGGGGAGCCACCAAAATCCAGTTCCTATACCAGCCAAGCATTGTTTCATAAGGACTAGGATGGACCCTGACTCTGGGATTTGTTTTGTTAGGATTTAGTTATTTTTATCTCTTATGAGTATTTTGCCTTCATGTATGTTAAGTTCACTACATGTATGTAATGCCTTTGGAGGCCAGAAGAGGGCATCAGATCCCCTGGAACTGGAGTTATGGATGTTTGTTAGCTGCCATGTGGGCGCTGGAAACTGAACTCATGTCCTTTTCAAGAACAGCCAGTGCTCTTAACCACTGAACCACCTCTCTAGCCCTGGGTTTTTGTTTTGTTGGGTTTTTTTTAAGATTAACTTTCTGTGTGTTTGTGTATACACATGTGTGGGTGCCTCAGGAGGCCAGAACAGGATGTCAGATCCCTTGGAGCTGGGGTTACAAGTATCTGTGAGCCACCAATGTGAGTGCTAGGAACTGAGCTCTGATTCTCATGATTTAGCAGCAAGTTCAGCCCTCACATTTGTTTTTGAGACAGGGTCTCCTTGTAGCCCCAGCTGGCCTGGAACTTGCTATGTAGACCAGGCTGGCCTCAATCTCAGAGATCCACCTGCCTCTGCCTCCTGAGTGCTGGGATTAAAGGTGTGCAGCACCACATCCAGCTTTTATTTTTATTTTTAAGTATGTAGGTGTGTGCGTGTGCATGCGTGCGTGTGTGTGTCTGTCTGTCTGTAAGTGCAGTGCCTGTGTGTTGGATGAGCTTGTTCTCCCCATGGCAAGCCTTCTCTAGCTGGGATTCACTCATTTGCTTCAATCACAGCAAACTAATTTGACTATAGACCCTACATAGGAGGGGAGGGGCAGAAGGAGTCAATCACCCCTCCCACCCAATCAGTCGGCCTTAGCTGCATGATGGGGCGGGACTAAGGATAGGGACAAGGGAAGCTGGAGAGGGGGTGGACTTCGCCATCTTGGGCCACTGCCAGTAGGTCAGGGGTCCCCAGCCATGATGTAGGAAGAAAGCCCAAGCGTGCCCACACCTTTATAAGTAACCACCACCACCACCCTACGCTCTGTTAGAAAGCCCAATAGATTATTTGGTTCCCTAAACTGTAGGTTTGTCATAAGGATGATGGTTGAGAAGGGAGCCTGAAGCCTCGTGCGCCTCCCAGAAGTAAAATTTAACTACATCATGGATGCCAGAAGAGGGCATCAGATCCCCCTGGAGCTGGAGTTGCAGGTTTGTAAGCCTCTAATGTGGATGCTGGAAAATGCCTCTGCAAAAGCAGCAAGCATTCTTAACTATTCAGCCATCTCTCTAGCCCACTTTTTTTCTGTGTGTGCATGTCTGTGTGTGAGGTGCACACGTTCCTGTATGAGTGCAGCACTCATGTAGAGATCTGAAGACAACCTAGAGTGTCAGTCCTTGCCTTCTATCCTCTTTGAAGCAGGTTTTCTTAGGGTTTTGTGTTTTTTGGGGGGTGGGGGGAGTCATGCACTCCAGGCTAGCTGGCCCGCTAGCTTCTAGGAGTTCTCTGGTCTCCAGCTCCCATCTTTCTGTAGAAATGCTGGGATTATAGATGCATATACCTCATCCAGGTTTGCAGGGGTTCTGGGGATTTGAACTAAGGTCCTTCTGCTTCTGCAGCCAGTGCTTTAACTACTAAACCATCTCCTCAGCACTACACTGGTTTTCAAGACAGGGTCTCTCACTGTGCCGGTGAGCTCCACACATTCTCTTGTGTCTGGCTATCCACCAGTGGATTACAAGCACGAGCCACCAAAGCAACTGATTTTACATGGCTATGGGAATCAAACTCAGGTCCTCATATTTGCAACAGCTAGCATTTCACTGACGGAGCCATCTCCTTAGCTCAGATATTAAACCTTAGATCCTCTTGCCTCTACCTCTCAAGTGCTAGGATTACTGGTGTAGGCCAGCACACCTGGCTTGGGGACTCGTGTGTGTGTGTGTGTGTGTGTGTGTGAGACGTGAGTATGGGTACACATGAGGAGGTGAGATGACAACCTTCAGAAGTGGGTTCTCTCCTTCCACCCTGGGTTCCAGGTATCTGAACTCAGGGTGTCAGACTCATATGGTAAGCATTTTTACCTGCTGATGTTGGGGGTATGGTTCAGTGTTAGAGCCCCTGTCTAGAATCCCTTAGTGAGGGGTTGGGGGCATAGCTCAATGATAGAGCCTCTGCCTAGAATACCCCAGTGAGGGTCTGGGGACACAGCTCAGTGGTAGAGCCCCTGTCTAGAATCCCCCAGTGAGGGGTTGGGGGTATAGTTCCATGATAGAGCCTGGCCCCACTGAGGGGCCAGGGTCCTGGTTCAGCAGTACAGTGCTTAACTAACTTGTTCATCCATCTGGATTCCATCTCCAGTACTGCAATAAAAAGTAATAATAATCAAATCACCCAGCAGATTTTAGGACAAGCCCTTGAAATATTCACTGAGGCCTTAGCCCCTGACACACTGGGGGGGCTACTCCCCTCTCCCTCTCTCCCTACAGCCCCACCAATCCCATTACCTCTGCCCCCAGGCCATACTGCTTAGTGTAGGAAAACATGGCCAGGTCATCGAACAGTCGAAGGACAGTCCTGCAGTGGCTGAGCTGGGCAGACACCGCAAGCAAGCGCATCCCCACTTCTGATCTGGTAGGAAATTGTTCAACCAGGACTCCACCAATGAGCTGACAGCAGTACCCCAGAGTTCGGATCTGCAGGAGACCAGAAGCTATTAAAGCGGTCCTCATCACTGAGCTGGATCCCCACCCCCAACCTGATAGGTCATGGCACCTACAGAAGATTCTAGACCTAGAATCCCACTTGAGAGGCTGAGGCAGGAGGAACACCCACGAATTCAAAGTGAAAAAAAAAAAAAAAAAAAAAAAAAAAAAAAAAAAAAAAAAAAAAAGCAAAGGGAGCTCTGGAGCGATGGCTCAGCAGAAGCCCTGGGTTCATTATCCATAACCCCAGTTCTGGGGTATCTGATGTCCCTCTCTGGCCTCTGCAGGCATTGCACACACGGTGCACTTATATGCAGGCAAAACACTCATAAAAATAAATGATCAATCAAAGAAACGTTTTTAATGCTAACACTTCCAATGGAAATGCTTTTACTTTCTTTTGCTTTTCTGAGATGGGATCTTGCTCTGTAGCCCAGGCTGACCTCAAACTCACTATGTCGTAGCCCAATGGGCCTTAAATTCACTGTCATCCTCCTGCCTCAGCCTCTCCAGTGCTGGGACTGCAGGTATCAGCCACCTTGCCTGCCCAGAAATTTTTTTCTGCTTTATAATTTTTAAATATTTTATTTTTATTTTATGTGTATGAGTGTTTTGCTTGCATTGCGTATATATAAGGCAGCCATGTATGCAATGCCCACAGAGGCCAAAAGAGGGTTTAGGATCTCCCGGAACTGGAGTTACAGATGGCTGTTAGCCACCATTTGAGTGCTAGGAACCAAACTGTGGGTCCTCTGCAAGAGCAGCCAGTGCTCTTAACCACTGAGCATCTCTCCAGCCCCTTCCTTTCTTTTTCTTCTTTTTTTTCTTTTCTTTTAAAGCAAAGGTATAATTTTATTGTACTTGTTATCACTTTCAGACAAGGCCTCATGTAGCCAAGGCTGCCTGGCTGGCTGAGATCAAGGATGACCTTGCACTCCTGATATTTCTGCTTCCATCTCCAGAATAAGTGCTGGGATGACAGGCAGGCAACACCACATCTAGTTCATGCAGTGCTGGTGACAGAACCCAAGGCCTCTTACATGCTAAGCCAGTCCTCTACCAACTGAGCCACAACCCCAGCCACTGAAAATGTTCATCTAGATTAGTTACCTACAAGAAGCTGACATCAGTGTCCAAAAGGTACTGTATAGCCGGGCATGGAAGGGGGCACACCTGTCATTCCAGTATACCCGGGCATGGAAGGGGGCGCACCTGTCATTCCAGTATACCCGGGCATGGAAGGGGGCGCACCTGTCATTCCAGTATACCCGGGCATGGAAGGGGGCGCACCTGTCATTCCAGTATACCCGGGCATGGAAGGGGGCGCACCTGTCATTCCAGTATACCCGGGCATGGAAGGGGGCGCACCTGTCATTCCAGTATACCCGGGTATAGCCGGGCATGGAAGGGGGCGCCCCTGTCATTCCAGTATAGCCGGGCATGGAAGGGGGCGCACCTGTCATTCCAGTATAGCCGGGCATGGAAGGGGGCGCACCTGTCATTCCAGTATAGGCGGGCATGGAAGGGGGCGCACCTGTCATTCCAGTATAGCCGGGCATGGAAGGGGGCGCACCTGTCATTCCAGTATAGCCGGGCATGGAAGGGGGCGCACCTGTCATTCCAGTATAGCCGGGCATGGAAGGGGGCGCACCTGTCATTCCAGTATAGCCGGGCATGGAAGGGGGCAAACCTGTCATTCCAGCACTGGGGGAACCGAGATAAGAGGATTGTAAGTTTGAGGCCAGTTTGGGCTACACAGCAAGATATGATTTCGAAAAAGAAATGGGGGTGGGGGGGGGGAGATTGCTGGAGAGATGGATCAGTGCTTAAGAGCATTCACTGCTCTTGCGGAGGACCAAGGTTTGGTTCCCAGCACCCACATGGTAGCTAACAACCATCCTCAACTCCAGTTCCAGGGGATCCAACACCCTCTTCCGGCCTCTGTGGGCACTGCTTATACATGGTGCACTTATACACAGGCAGAGCATTCATACACATAAAAAGAAAAAAAGAAACAAGGGGGCTGGAGAGATGAGGACCTGGGTTTGGTTCCCAGTACCTATGTGGTGGCTCACAACTGCCTGCATGCATATGGTGCACATACATACACACGGGCACAAACACGTACACATAGTAAACTAAATAAACAAATCTTTAAAAGAAAAACAAACGGGGAAGGAAAGACAGGAGACGTAGAAGGGTGGGAAGCTGGGATAAGGGGGGGAGAAAGATGGGGGAGGGGG